GCTTGCACAATTTGTGATAACCAAGATAAACTTTTCAAAAGAGAAATCATTCTTCCTGATTTTGATCTGAATTGCTCATCTAAGAATTGGAAGGGCATACACCAATGGCCTTTATCCTTCTTAATTGTTATATCTTGCTTCACTCATACATGCATTTTGATATTTTCTTCAGTACTTCAAAAACCTGCACAACTTTTTGATCAGAAACTTTTTGGTACCATCTCTTTAGTTACCATGTGGGCAATAGGATCTACGAATCACCTGCTATTTTAATTAACCTATAATTAACCTCTAGGACAGGGCTGTCAAACTCATGTTGTCACGGCGGCATAACGTATCAGGACTTTTTCCCCCTTCGCTAAACTGGGCATGGGCATGGCCAATGCATGATGCATCCAGCCCATGGGTCGGGAGTTTCACAGCCCTGCTCTAGGATAATATACTTATGGTATATTATGGACCATGGAACATGATAGAAAATTAAATGACTCTTCTCCCTTGCTTCCAAGAGGATTAGGTAACCTGTCTGAAGTAATCTGGCAATAGTGGTTCTTGATACTGGAACACCTGTTATTCCTGTTTTTTTCACAGCATTTGACTCTCCTTAAACCATAATCTGTTTAAAGCTGGTCACTTCCAAGGGGTCATGCACAGAGAAGAATCCTAAAGTTTCCTTTTGTCAATTCTTGGGCTGAGACAAAGATTAAGCAATACAACATGATTTCTCAAAATGAGGATTAAGCATTCTATGTTTGACATTCCAACAGACTTCTTCAAGCCAATAAAAATACAATAGTCAACTTTGACTTAATAAAAACTTCACTTTTACTACCAAGTAGGACAAAGTAGTATTATGCCCATAGCTCCTATAAAATCAAAGCAGGTTGAACGCTGTATATATTTGTTTATCCATAGTAATATATTTACATTTTAATTCTCTTGGATTTTTTTGCTGAGATTTTGCTTTGTTTTGTTGTTGTTATTTAGCAGTTATTTGGCTTAGAAACCAATATTCCTCATTTGGAAATGGAAGTAAAGTTACAACAGAAATGTATCTGGTTATTTCTCAAACAACTTCTGGGTCCAATTTTAGCTGCTTCTGGGTCCAATCAAGATGCTGGTTTTAACCTTTAAAGGCTTTCATAGCATGGGACCAGGTTATGTGAGCCTGCCCCATTAGATCTGTACCATCTGCCAGGGGACAGACATTTTGGGGAGTCCCTCAAAGACTCCTTGAGCCCAAGGATGAAATGCTCCCGGTTCGGACTGGATCACCTGATCCGGTAGCAATGGTGGTGGGTGGTTCAGAGAACCAGTAGCAGAAATCCTTGCCCCCCCCACCATGCCCACCTGAGTCATGCAATCATCAAAGGCTTTTTTTTTTACTTTTAAAAGCATTTTTTTACAAATGCTTTTAAAAGTAAAAAAAAAAGCCTCTGATGATCGCGTGGCTCAGCTGGGATCGTCAGAGCCTTTTAAAAGCATTTTTTCTACAACCTCTTCGGCTGAAGAAGTTGTAGAAAAAATGCTTTTAAAAGTTAAAAAAAAAAAAGTTGGCCACGCCCACCCAGTCACATTACCCCCAAAAAAAGCCACGCCCACAGAACTGATAGTAACAAATTTTACATTTCACCACTGCTTGAGTCCCTTCTCTGTCATGGGACCTACCCTATGGAATATTCTTCTCCCAAAGTCAGTTTACCTCCAACCCTGTTATCATTTTGGAAGTACCTTAAGATCTGGTTATGTCACCAGGCCTGGTGGTCCCAAGAAACCAGAAACATCCTTAAATGGTTCCTTTGTGATTGATCTTTTTTATTTTCTCATTTATATATTTTTAATTTTTATGGTACTTTTCATTTTTAATATGACTTTTTATTTTTATATAATTAATGTTTTACATTGTTTTAGAGATTGTTGTATGCCAACAGGGTTGCTTCTTGTGAGATGGGTAGCCATATTAATGTGATTAATAAATACATATATAAATCTTATATTCAGTGTGGTAAAACAAAACAAAAAACCCCCTACCTTTACTAGGCTGAAATCTTTTGCAATCCCCAAGAGTCTTGAGAACAGAGATATACTCCGTTAGGGGGTAGAGGTAGCTTATATTATTTTTTAAGACAGAATAGTTTTTAAAACTTTAAATCAGATGCACAGCACTTCAATTGTTTTCCAAAGAATATCATATTCTTTGGGACTATTTCCCAGGATAAAAATTTCCCATAAAATATCAAGAGGTAGGAACTATGAAAAGTTTGTGTCTAAAACACAATTGCAATGATTTTTTTCTTTCTTTTTCTTTTTTCTTTTTTTGAGTATGTGCCTTCCCCCCACCCCCACTCTGGACAATTGCCTGGCCTAATCTATCCAGTTTTCAGAGATGGTTTGTCCCTGCAAGGGGGAGTGACTGGCCAAAGGTCAGGCAGTTGGCTTCATGCCTAAGTCAGAACTAGGACAGAGGTTAATGTAGTCTGATACCTTAACCACTACTTTCTTCTACAGAACTGTCCTCTGGAGCACTGATATTTGAGCTGAATAGCATCAATAAAAATCTCCCTGAGAAATGCCCACATATATGCACACACAACAAAGAATATATAGTGCGACTTGCCAATTGCCCTGTTTTTAAAGGGGTACATCATAATATATTATTTAATTTGGAATATATTGTATCTCGTTTCTCTTTATTATATTTAAAAACAGAATTATTCTTCCTCCCTCCTAATATTTTATTTTCCTTTTGTTTGAAATAGTTTTCCTTTAATTATAAAATTGTATCTTGTAATATCAAAATTCTAGATACTTGGAAAGAAATTTAAAGCTGCCTGTACGAAACAGATTGAAACCTGAAATTTGAATCAGTTATTATTTGGCAGCAAACTATTTCCCCAGGCCTCTTTTCCCATCTCCACTACCAAAGGAGAACTTCCATCTTTTATTTTGTGTGAAAAATGTAAACCAACCAGTAATTCTCTTACTTTGTTTCCTGCAGTAAATTGTATAAAAATAGTGTCTGATTTCTTGGGTGCTCCTTGGGCATGAAACTCAGAGGTGACCTACTTCTGTACAGAAATAAAAGTTTTGTTTTTTCTTGATTCTGTGTGACATTGGCTTCTCCACACCAGATTCCAGTAAATAGCCAGCTATCTGGCCAAAAGATAACTCTCTGTGTGATTGACATAGTTCTTCTCTCTTGCTCAATCTAAATTGATAGGGTTGCTGTTTGAACAAATAAAGAGATTTTGGGTTGATAGTGTTGATTTGGGTTGATAGTGTAGCTTGGTAATCAGGCTAGGATTGTATTTATAAATAAATAAATACATTCTTGGCCTGATTACCAAGCTACACTATCAGCTCAAATAACTATGCTAGATATCAATGATTGGGTCTTAAATTTTCCCCAATTTAAAGTGGGAGCACACAATGTTGGGATTTTTATATTTAGTTGACCTGGTAGCTTGAAATTTAAAAAATGTTTCCCTTTCTTTACAATTTTGTTTTATGGGAAGAAAAATCCGCTCCAGTTCCAAGTTGGGAGAATTGTGCTGGAATTAAAATGGAGGCTGACTGCAAGGCAAGGTTTATTTGGTTTCCAGAAACTTCAGTGACAGCAGCAATGTTTCTATGGTGGCTGACAAAATGGTTGAGTGAGATGATGGATCTTTATAGGTTGTTGGGGTTTTCTGATTGAGATGCTCCAGGGGGTTGCGCAATGTAGTGAGCCTTGTATCCTTTACTATTTCAATGGTGGTGGGTTAATCCTATTATGTCTTAAAGGTCATGCCCTGCCTTTAGAATTTGGGTGGGGGAATGTAAATTCTTAATCCCATAAAATTAATCCCAAATTCTTAATCCCATGAGGGCTGTGGTTGAAGGCATTTTGTTTATGGATAGATTGGCCCAGTCTTTCTTAATAGGTACAAAATATCCATCTCTAAAGACTTGAGCCTTCTGCTTGAGGCTGTTAGAAAATACTTGGGCTGCTTTCTGTTAAGCATGCTTCTCCATTTTTCTTTTGGGGAAATATTCTATCCTGCATCTCTTAATATTAAGATTAAACAATATTTTAATCTGGGGAAGGGGGAGGAACTTCCTACAGTTTCAAGAAAGGAAGGGTTTTTTTCCCCTCTGCTTTTGGGAAAGCTATTTAAACCATTTTAATTACTCCCCCCCCCCTTCTGTTTGCCGTTTGAAATTGCACAAACTCCGAGACAGGAAAAGAAACCCCATCGAGAGGGTCGGTCTATTTTCATCCTTCCACAAAATTATGCTAGTCAGAGGTGTAAATTTACCATTCCCGCCACTAACACGGGCAAGTTCATCACTGTAATACTTAGTCGATATATTTGGAGGACAGTAAGTTCCGGAAGACTAGCATGGGCAAATATTTTCTAAGCCAGGGTGGGCTAACATTTCCCTCCGATTAAGAATTATTGCGGCAAAAGTTTCTGTGACGGTTTATACACATTTGCGAAGAAAGGAAACTCTTGCTGCATTTCCTAGATTTTCCTGCCCTCCTTGCCGAAGAAAAGCGGAATCTGCGCTTTATGCAGCGGCCCGCCCTAAGGCAGTGCTAGCCTCATCTTCCCTTTCTCTACGACTATAGATCCCAACCGGTGTGTGCTGATGGATGCTGGGAATTGTAGTCAATAAACAGAGGCTCTCAGCTTTAGGGAGTCTACTCTACACTTTTTTGTCTCTACGGTTACGCGCCCCGCCAACACGGCACGGTGCGGAAGTGCCGGGTGGGAGGCGACGTACAGTACGCGGAAGGAGGTCGCCGTAGAAAGCCTGTTGGAGTGGATATTCCGCGCTGCAGACCAGGAAGGTAGGTGTGCGGGGCTCCACCTCCAACATAAGCCCGCCCACTGGGTCCTCGCCACGCCTCTTTGTTCTCAAAGCCTCATGCCGGTTCCGTTCCCAGGAACAGGTACTGAGGGATCGGGAGCCCGGACGGCTGGCTTCCCTTAGCACAGGTGCGGCAGAGCTTCGGATGCTGAGTATTGTGGTTGGAGCCCTGGGGCGGATGCGGAGGCAGGTCTCCGCCCCGGAGCCCGTGCAGTCATGAGAAGAAAGCGCATAGCTCTGAGTCTGCAAAGAGTATATTTCACTAACCAAAGCTGGAAATCCAATAACTCCTCCTATTATTAATAATTATTCGCTCGGAAGCTGGTCCAAGATTCAGGAACATTTTGTGCCAGTGTGAATTATATATATATATAGAAAGAGAGAGAGAGAGAGAGAGAGAGCAAGCAGGATAGTAAGGCCCAAACGCAGCTTCCAGAGATAGAAACTTTCTGTGCATAAAAAAAGTAAGTTAGGACTTTTTAATTAGACCAAGCATTTCGGAGTTATTCCTGGTGGCTTTCCTGGCAGACTGTCTCTCTTTTTTTCTATACACAAGATTAGGCAGAGTATCAGTTTCTTTTTAAGTAGTCAGCAAAGTATTCATCATTTCATTATAGTTGCCCACAATTTTTTTTTTCTGAGGTTAACTTTTAAGACAACTCTATTTTTACAGAGCTTGAAATCAACTCATAATATCCTCTCCAGTTAGGTTAATGTTTTACCTCTCAGTAAGATTTCAGTTAACTTTCTCACATTTGTGAAACAATTCTATCTATAATTGTCTTGTTGCCTGTATTTTTAAACAAACTGTGATTTTATATGTTGCAGTTTTGCCTGGATGTCCTCTGTATGTGTTGGAAATACAATTGCTAGGTTTTCTTATAGTTGCATTGCCTTTATACATCTGGAGATAGCAAGCTTGAGAAGGCAGGTTTGTACTTATTATTTATTTACTGTAACTATTTTGCAATGTTTGCCCTACTTTTCATCCGTTCTCCCAGTATATGAACGTTTGCAAACTTCTTAGATTTTTATAGCTGTGTGACTTTTGGGTGGGGTATAGATTTACATATGCTAGGGTTTTATTAGACTTGCATATTCAATGAAGTAGTACGTTTTCAAAAAAAAAAAAGAAACTTCTACCACACTTGATATTCAAGGTTATGACAAGATCTGATGTTTTTCTGTCATTCCTCTCTGCAAAGCTTCATTGATGAGAGAACAACCTAGCAAATTCCAATCAAAGCAAAACTAGAATTGGAAAAAGCAAAATTGGGATTTTTGTTAATGACTGGCTGGACAACTTTCTCATTATTTCTTTGCCTGGTCTCTTTTATTTAGAGATGCTGAAGTTGGAAACTGGGACTTCCTCTTTGCATTGCAGAGCATGTACTTATGTACTGAATCAACGATCCCCCTCCCAAAATGGAAATTCCCACATGTAGAATCTCAGTGAGGTGATGTGTGACCAAACTAGCCACTGAGCTATTTCTCTCTGTCAATAAAGTCTTCTTTGAGTCAAATAACTACTGGTGGCTTCATGCATTTGCCTTAGCAGAAATACAAATGCTGCTTGTAATTGCCTTCTTCTGGAATGTTGTCTTGATCTCTCATTCCAGTCTGTAGTTCTGGACTTTTCATGTCATCCAAATATTAATAAGATCCACCCTTGCTTAGCTTTTCCAGATCAGATAAAGTTTCTCAGACATTAAGCTGTGCCCAATGTTACACAACAAGATCCTGTTGTACCATGTCAGCCCTACCACATGGACTACACAAAATAAGCTAATTCTACTTTATTGTAAAGCTACATTAACACAATTCACTCTTCACATCCTTGTCTCCTTTACAGTGCAAGAAATAGGAAGGGTCCCTTATGAGCCTCTTGCCCACCTGCTATCCACCTGCAGTCTATGCTGTCTCTTTTTTGATTATTTGAGGTTGGTAAAATGAAGACCCAGATTGTTGGGGGCAAGATGCTGGCTCTATAAACCATTTATAGGACTGTAAAGCACTGCAAAGTGGTATATAAATCTAGGTGCTATTGCTATCATCCTATCCTTGATTTCTGATTGCTGAATTAATGTTAGCTTCTGAAGCATCTCTGATAATTTCTTTCTCTCCATTGTTGTTGCAGGGTTTTTATTAGATATTCTCTTGCCTGGCATCCTTATTTGTGATGCAGAGTATATTTTGAAGGCTCTAGAGCTGTAAAGATTCCAGAGTGGGATACAAGACAGAATGGCTGAAGCTGTCCATTATATTCATTTGCAGAACTTCAGCAAGTCTCTTCTGGAGACCCTGAATGGACAACGTCTAGGTGGTCATTTCTGTGATGTGACAGTGCATATCCAGGAGGCCACCCTGCGGGCTCACCGTTGTGTACTGGCTGCTGGCAGCCCCTTTTTCCATGATAAACTGTTGTTGGGCTACTCAGAGATTGAGGTACCCCCTGTTGTCCCCAGCCAGGTAGTGCGTCAGCTGGTGGAGTTTATGTATAGTGGCTCTCTGGTCGTAGCCCAGTCTGAAGCTCTGCAGATCCTCACCGCTGCTTCCATCTTGCAAATCAAGACTGTCATTGACGAATGCACCCAGATCATCTCTCAGAATCGCAGCCCGAAACCCCCCACTGTTGCTCCAGCGGTACCCCTATCTCTTCCCAGAGTTCTGCCCGGCAAGCCCCAGGAGCAACAATCCAAAGAGGTCATTGGCAGCCTCTCACGACCAGGTGACCTTGACACTGCCCACCTTGAACCCCCAAAGCTGCTTTGTGCCTCAGAGGTGCGTTATAAATTGCGAGACTTGCTGTCCTCCCAGCACAGAGAAGCTAGGACAGCTGCCTGTGAAGGGTCCATAAGTGAAGGAGATGCAGGAGGTTCCTACCTGCACTCCACTGAATCTGCCCCCAGTTGCCATAGCCGCAAGCAGCGCCAGCCAGTGAGGCTTCAGCTGTCTGAGACAATGCCAGTGATCATCAAAGATGAAGAAGAAGGCGGTGGGGAAGGCCCAGAGGGGTCGGAGGCAGAAAGAGAGGCCAAACTGAGCTGCTTTGCTGAATGCAGTGGGAGTGGCCCCTTTACTGCTGATTTTGGTGACCAGGCAAAGGATTCTGGGGGTAGCAGTGGAGCAGACCGGAAGGAGAGCCTCCACTTGGATTATGCCACCCCGGAAGGTCAGGATTTCTTTGGAAATCAGGATGTCTTTTCCGAGTCCTTCATCCCATCCTGGCAGGGAGAAGAAAGTGGAGAAGAGGCTACAGTTTCCACCTCTCGAGATAGAGATAAATTCCATCCTGATTGCAATGTAGAGGCTTCCAATCTAAGGAACTTAACAGGAGAATTCAAGCAAGACCTAAGTGGCTCCACCTCTGGGTTTCCACCCCGGAGCAGCAGTGGTGGGGCTGAGGGCTTGACCTTTGTCTCCTCCCTAGGCATCCAGCGGGAGCTCAAGGCAGAAGTCACTAATACCAGCACAGTCACCAGTAATACCAGCATCTTCCAGTTCCACTTACCTCAGCCTGGTGGCGTAGCCCAGACCTTCTACAGCATTCAGCAGCAGCAGCAGCAGCAGCAGGAGTCAGGTGCCAGCAATATGGTGCAGCTCAGCCCCAACACAATGGTTACCGGTGCTCTTCATGGTGGGGAGCAGCAGAGCCAACAGCCTGGAACCTCCCGCTGCTTGGAACCTTCCTATCAATGTAGCCACTGCCAGAAAACGTTCAGCTCTCGGAAGAACTACACCAAGCACATGTTCATCCATTCTGGTAATGAAATCTGTAAGCCAGGGAGGTGGGTTGTCAGTGCTGGGGAAGAACAAGGCTGGGCCTCAGAAAATATCACTGTTCAGTGATTGAACAAGGTTGTTTTTCCTACTGTTTTGAGAGAATGGTAAATGAAGGCAGACACAAGGAGCTGACACTAGACTAGAGCAATGGTTCTCAACTTGGATAGCAAAGATGTGTGGATTTTAACTCCCAGAATTCACCAGCCAGCATGTGCTGGCTGGAGAATTCTGAGAACTAAAGTCCACAAATCTTATTGTTACTCAGGTTGAGAAATATTGCACTAGAAAGAAAGAACATTTCTTGCTGATTTCCAAGAAAAGTTGTAAGTAAATACACGCAGCTAGGAAAAATGTGCACAAAAATCCAAATAGAGCCACAGATGTTTTAAAAAAACCAAACGCTCAAACCAATACAGGTAGTCCTTGACTTGGAACCATTCTTTTAGTGGCCATTCAAAGTTATAATGGCACTGAAAGAAGTGGCTCGTGATCGTTTTTCCACAGTTACGAGCATTGTCGCATCCTTGTCGCATGATCAAAATTTGTGCACTTGGCAAATGTCATACATTTATAATAGTTATGGTGTCCTGGGGTCATGTGACCTACGACCTGACAACAAAAGTCAATGACGAAGCTAGATTCACTTAATGACCCTGTTACTCACTTAACAACCACAGTGATTCACTTAACAATTGTGGCAAAATTCACTTAACAACTATATTGCTTAGCAATGGAAATTTTGAGTTCAATTATGGTCGTAAATCAAGGACTGCCTGTAATGTGCAAATGGATGAAAGGTAGGAAATAAAAATGAGAAACTAAAATTGGCCAAGTCACACCTCAAATCTTTTCCTGCTGTTGAAATACAAATGATCACGGAAAGACAGTAGGATTGGCTGCTTTGATAATAAATGTTTTAAGGAGAAAGGTTGAGTGAATGGAGAAAATGCAAGAAGCTTCAGGGTGAGAAAAATCTGGTTTCTTGCAATTGCTGCAATGTCTTTTCCTGCCAGTGCTTTTTATTTTTCTCCTCCGCTGACATCCTGCTGGAAAACTGGTACTGGGGATTGAAATACTTGGGTCTCAGGGAAGCCAAACGAATGACATTAGCTTTTTTGTGTAGAAATTCCTTAAACTTGAGAGCCATCAGACAGAACATATTAGCAAACCACCTAGGGATGGGGCAGAAGGGAAATGGGTACAATTAAAACAAAAAGTGAGCGTGTCCCAAATAAAACACAATGTTTGGCTAAAAACCCTTTCCTAAATTGATTTTTCCTCTCCTTCAGCTAAATGTAGTAATTTAACTTAATTTAATTTTTAACTAACTTTAGGCAAACTTTTGGTGACAACTGTTGATGGGGTTTGTTCGATTTTAAGATAAGCCACTATGGTGCAAACAATCATAGTTACAATAAACCAGGTCTTAGAATGCAAATGATTCTTATCACAGGGTGGTGCGAATACAGCATTACAGTCACTGGGACATAGCTGCTTTGAGTTGCAGACAGGGATGAAAATTACATCCCAGAATTCTCTGAAAACTCTTTTTTGCCTTTAATCCAGATAATTATAATAATTAGAGGGCCTATTTGATCTAATAGATGAGGAATGAGGAAACTATTAGGCATGAGTGTCCCTGAACCAGTCACTCTCAGCCCTAGGAAGCAAGCAATGGCAAGCATTTGGCAAGAAAATTTATTTTTTTAAATTAAATACCTTTAATTTTTTTAATTAAATACCTTTAATTAAGATATATTTAATTAAATACCTTTAATTTTTTTTAATTAAATACCTTTAATTAAAATATATTTAATTAAATACCTTTAATACCTATTTAACAGCCAAGTTTCCTGATTACCTGAATACAGGTAATCCTCAATGTAATGACCAGTTGTTTAATGCTCTTTTGCAATCACAACAACCTTAGAATGGTGAAACATTTCTAGCCATTGTAAAACATCATGCCATTTTACAATGATCCATTCCCCCAGTGCACCAAATGATTTTACGCATGGGTAAGATTTTATGTGTGGGTATATTTTTCCTCCCATACTGGGAGGAGAAATTCTCCGACATGCTAGAAGAATGGACCTCAAATATGGCAAAAACACTAGCAAATGCCATCATTCTTGTGATTGTTCTCCCCGGTGGGATGGGGAGTGCCCAAACCTCCCAGCTGAGGTGGGAGGCCCAAACCCTCTTCCCAGCCCACTCTTCTTAGCATTCCACTTAAAACACACATGGCTGCTTAATGACCACAACTGGGAGAGTCAGGATTGCAATCGTTGAGCAAAGTGGTCATGTGGCATCTCACTTAATAACTGGTTCACTCAATATCCAAGATTCTGGGCCTCCCAGAATTGTGATAGGTAGAGGGACAACCTATATACTGTACAGTATATGTTGTGGTCATTGCACAGTTATCACTGTAGAGATAACTACAATGCCTGCCTTGTTACTCTATTCAGTGAAAGGATCTCTGCATTGCAAAACAGACAAAGCAGCTCTTTATAGCTATGAAGAGAACCTTTGTTTTTCTGAGTCCCCAAGAACTGCAAAGAGTAATGCAGTGATTTCAGTGAAATTCTTGAAAAGAACGCATTTGTCTTTTTTGTCTTTCTTTTGCACTGGGATTAAGTTAAAACAAATCAAACAAAGGTTTAACAGGCCTCCCTCCATAATCTGGGGATGCTTTGGGATCATAAAAGGAGAGGTGCCGGTTGGTTTCTCCCATCCCTCCTTCCCATTGGAGAGCAAGTTTTTTGTTAAGAAATGAAAATTTGGCCTGCTCAACCGGCCTGCTGTGCTGTTCCCTTTCTAGGTGAGAAGCCCCATCAGTGCAGCATTTGCTGGCGTTCCTTCTCACTGCGGGACTATCTGCTCAAGCACATGGTGACCCACACTGGTGTGCGTGCCTTCCAGTGCTCCATCTGCTGCAAGCGCTTCACCCAGAAGAGCTCCCTCAACGTGCACATGCGCACCCACCGCCCTGAACGCTTCCAGTGCTGCATCTGCAACAAATACTTCTCCCACCGTACTCTGTTGGAGCGTCACATGACCACTCACACTGCCTGGAAAGGGGGCCCATCAGATGCCCCCGGGGCTCTTGTCACATCCTCCTCCCCAGCTGACTGGAAGGAGAAACCAAATGTTGCCACCACGGCTGCTCCTGCTGCTGAGGCAAGCATCATTCCTGCTCCTGTGGCTTGGAAAGCAGGGGAGCCGACTGCTGAGAGCACCATCAGTGGTTGGAAGACAGGAGATCCGAGCCAGGCAGAAAGTCGTCTGGTAACCTGGAAGGGAGAAGCTACTGGGGAAAATTCAGTTACGGCCTGGAAAGGAGATCCTACTTCGGAAACCTCCATGCAGCCTCATACTGTCTAGAACATATGGGCCTTTTTTGCTGCTTGATCCAACCCTTGTGGTTTATGGAGATAGATGGCATCAAGGCTTACTTTGAGTCCTTTAATCTGGAAAAATATCTGATGTGGTATGTTGCAAACTAGAAAGGCAAAGTCTTCAGGGCTACCACTGTAGATTCTACAAGGGATAGTGCTACCACGGGCAGACCATGCACTCTGCTGTAGGACACAGATGGAGACTGTGTCCAATGGCTGTCTCTTAGTCTGCCTGTAGTGCAATAGTATAGCATATGCTTTGCATGCTGGGAGTCATAAGTTGAATCCCTGATCTTATCAGTTAAATGACATGTTAGCAGGACTGGGAATGTCCTTTGACTGGAATTCAAAACAGGATTTTCCAAAAAGAGTGGATCACATTAATCTTATTGGACCAATAGACTGACCTACACTAAGGCAATGTAATACTGGATTTCCCAGAAAATAAGACCAGATCGTATTTTCTTTTGACCCCTGAAATAAGCACTTGGCCTTATTTTGGGGAGGTTTATTTTTTTTTGAGGTGGACAATGCGGCAAGCGCGATCACCTCATGGCTGCTCAGCCCCTTAACCGCCGTTTGCAGATCAGCTGATCCAGTGAGGGCCAGAAATTCTGTCTCTTGCCAGCCCTAGCCCTGTCGACCTGAGACTGGGGGGGAGGGAGGCCAGAGTTCCGAATAGTGGCCAGTGTAGGCTCTGTCTGCACAGCCATGAAGGGGATCTGCATGGCCAGTTCTTGCCCACAGCATTGCCAGCCAGGATAGGTTCAGAGCTGCTGCTGGCCGAGATCAACAGATTTGATCTCGGCCAGCAGATTTGGTGAGCCAGACGCACTGCCGCCCCCTGGGAGGACAAGAGGGAGAGGAGGCGCTGCGAGAGAGCCCATTTCTCATGTTCTTCTCCTTCCGGGTGGTGGCAGTGCGTCCGGCTCACCGAATCTGGCCTGCTGATCTCAGGCAGCAGCAGCAGCCTGGGACTCATGTCCCAGTGCCAATCCCCATGTCATCTGCCCCGCATATTTGTTCAGTAGGGATTTGGGGACTAGCCGGGCTAGCTGAGTGTGCACAAAATGCGGAGCTGGAGACTGGGGCTTGGGGGCGGGGGGTCGAGCCCAGCTGGCTTCACATGGGAGAAGAGTGGCGAGGGAGCCCATTTCTCGCGTTGGGTCAGGTGGTGTTCGCCCACACAGAGGCCGGGCATCTGTGTGTGTGTGAGAAAGAGAGAGAGAAAAAGAAAGACACGGTGGAAAGGAAACCCTTTCAAACAGCATTGCCTGCAATTCTCTTTCTCTGTCATTTATCACACACACACAGACATTTGATTGCTTGAAAGGGACAGGCTGTGCTTTGCTTGTACCATAAGCACTTGCTTTAAGCATGTGCTTCCCATAATCTTGCCTGCCTTTTTGTCCATTTTTCAAGCAGCAGCAGCCGGGTAGTGGGGGGCGGCGATTCCAACAGACCACATGGCTTTCTGCCTCATCATGCAGCAGCCTGAGGAACACCGGAGCTGCAGGTCTGGCGGAGTGCAAACCGTGCTTGCTGCCTGCTTCATAGCCACAAGGTGAGCTGCAGAAGAGAGGAGCTCTTGGCTGTAAGGTTGCCTGGTGCTGTGGGGAGGGCTAGGGCTGGCAACTGCCAGAAAAATCTCCAGGCACCAGGAGAGACAGACCTACCAGCCCTCGCTGGATCAGCTGATCCGCGGGCCGCAGTTAAGGGGCTAAGCAGCCATGAAGTGACCAGGGAAGGGAAGAGCTGCCTCCTGTGCTGGCCATGCCCACCCCCTTCATTAGGGCTTACTTTTGGGGTAGGGTGTATATTAGGCTTACCCCAGTGGTGCTATTTAGCCAGTTCTATCCAGTTGGGGCGAACCGGTAGCGGCAGCTGTGGGAAGCTCCGCCCACCCACCCAGACATCATCACGTCCCGTTTTTTACGCTCTGTGTATGTGCTCCCATTTGCTAACTGGTAGCTAAGGTAAGTGAATACCACCCCTGGCTTACCCCCCAAAAATCGAGCTAGACCTTACTTTTTGAATAGGTCGTATTTTCAGGGAAATGTAGCTTAATGCTGGGAAATGGTGGCTGAATCTTTAAATACATGACAATAAATCACTTGAGTAACAGGTGCTGGGGTGGGATATAATCTCCCAAAAATATCTGGCGACATACAGGACACTACATGAATACTTGCCTTGTTCCAACAAGGCAGTTCATAGATAAGACTGCAGCAACAAATATGAAGCACAATATTGTGGGGTCCTTGGTGCTCTCTGAGTAGGGCAAGAAAACAGTCAAGCTAAGAGAGCACCAAGGACCCCTCCCCCTTCAACCCTGACGTACAGATATTCTGTTGTATTGGAAGCACAATATTCTCTGTCTGCAGCTAATATATTACTGACTTATATTTTTAAGACAGTTTGCTTTTATTTTGTTGAGAAAGTTACCAACACCTTTCCATTTTGTTTTCTTTTTCTATCTAGGAATAAAGCAGTGTCTGAATCTGTCTGAATTTTAGAGTAGTAAGACTGTGATGAAATTGCTGTAGATGGAGTCTTAAAACAGTGGCTTTTTTGAGCCCACATTCTAGTAGTTCTCGATTTACAATCATTCACATAGTGACCTTTAAAGTTACAACAGCACTGAAAAAAGTGACTTATGATCTTTTTTCACGCTTAGGACTGTTGTAGCATTCCCATATTCATGTGATCAAAATTTGGACATTTGGCTTGGGGTCAAAGACTGGCATCTTTTTATAACATTCATAGTGATTCATGTGTAATCTACTGACAAAGTCAAATGAGAATGCCAGATTCATTTACTAACTGTATTACTAACTTAACAACTGCAGTGAGATTCACTTAACAACTGTGGCAAGAGAGGTTATAAAATGGGACTAAACTCTTAATAACTCTCTTGCTTAGCCACAGAAATTTTGGGCTCAATTGTGGTGGTAAGTTGAGGACTAATCTCTACAGCATGGAAAAGCATGAAAAAAATATTATATTTTCACTTAATGGGATATCAAAGAGCAGAGGTTGGGAAATCTGCACCTGAAATCCTGGAAGGCAGTGATAAGATATGATATTTGGACTACATCAATGATAGAAGTTCTGTAACCATATATATGTTAAACTGCAGGCCTCAATATACCTCACAGCTCATGTTGCTGGCAATTCAGTGACATTGGGCAGATCACAAACATCTTATATGTTAATTGACATTAAGTAGTGTCTTATGTTTGCATGTCTGTAGAATCAAAACTTGCTTACTTGACAGGAGACTCAAAGAGCTTCTTTTTAGGGAATCAGTCCTGCCATGCAGATGGAAAAATGCAACCTATTGTTTCCAAATGAATAGTGATTGGGTTCTGCCAGTCATATCACCATCTGCTTGCCCTTCTTTGGTTCCTGACAGAGAGAGGTTGGTGGGTGGGTGGTTTGTTTTTTTAAATTTCAGATTCAATGCTAGTTATAGAAGCAATGGATTGAGCAGGCAGAGAAGAATGTGCCCTTGGCTTCATACTCAACAAATAGAGATATCTTGATTTTGTTTAGGTAATTATAATAGTAAAATAAAACAAACACATTTGAGTATCTGCTCCATTACCAGAAGATTTATATGTCAGGAAGTATGTCAATAATAAAATGTTACTGGAACAGAAAGTAATATTTTGCAGACCATCCATCCCCTACATTGCAGTCCAAGATCCTTCACCCATCAGCCAAGTCCATTAAAAATATCTTGGTTCACACATCCCACTAACCATAGCTTGTTACATCTCTGTTTTGTTGATCAAACAGGGAAGCAACATAATCATAGTTTTTTTTTTTTTTTAACCAACTTCTGATGTATTTACTTATAGCTCCCTGGGCTTTGCAATTCTGGTTTTTGGCACATAGACAAACTCACGAAAGAACAAATAAGCTATATGGTTTCATTTCATATATTGCACAGAACGGTGGTTGCAGTCAATATAGCTGAAATGTATTATTTCCAATTGTGATTTACCATCATCATATAACCTCTGGTCCATTTCAAATCTTGGATGAAAGCCAATCCCAGCCTGTGTGTACTTATGGATTTTAGTGGCATGTTACAGTAGTGATGACCAGTTGCTCAGATGGCTTTAAAAGGCAATTGAATGAATGCATGAAGCAGGGTTTCTAAGCTTTTTGGACATTGGAGAGCCAGTTTGGGGTATGGATTGAGATGCTGGCCTAAAAACCAGGGGACTTTGAATTCTAGTCCTGCTTTAGTCATGAAAGTGGGCTGGGTGTTTTTGGACAGTCACCCTCTCAGCCCAACCCATCCACTTCACAGGTAGTTGTGGGCAAAATAGAAGGAAGGAGAATTATGTATATTTGCTGCCTTAAATTACTTATGAAGTAAGAGATCTTGCCCCTGACCCAGGGATGAAATTCAGCAGGTTCTGACAGGTTCTGGAGAACTGGTAGTAGAAATTTTGAGCAGTTCAGAGAACCAGTAGAGAAATTTTGAGTAGTTTGGAGAACCGGCAAATACCACTTCTGGCTGGCCCCAAAGTGGGTGGGAATGGAGACTTTGCAATATCCTTCCCCCAGGAGTGGGGAGGGAATGGGGATTTTGAAGTATACTTCCCCTGGAGTGGGGAAGAAATGGGGATTTTGGAATAACCTTCCCCTGCCACGCCCATCTAGTCACGGCCACAGAACCGGTAGTAAAAAATTTGGATTTCACCACTACATTGTGGGGTGTGATAGAGTTCAGTATTTTCTCCACTCCTAATTAATTTTTGGATACGGTCATCTACAGCCATAGCTATTATCAGTATGCTGATGGTACCTAGCTGTATATCTCCGTCTTTTGGTAAAGTAAGTGACATGTTGATGTCCTGTCTCATTGCCTGGAGTCTGTTGATATCTGGATGGAGAACAAAGGGCTTCAGCTTCACTGGCAAGATTTAGTGGTGCTCTGGGTGAAGGAGCACTGCTCCAGGCAGACCCAGTGCATGATATGGGGGTCCTTCTGAACTTATGACTCCTGCTTGATGAGCAGATGGCATTTGTGACTTAAACTTGTGTGCCAATTTTGCTCATTCTGGCTCATACGGTTCTAGTTCATGCCTGATCACCTCTTTCATGGATTACTGTAATGTGCTTTACAAAGACTACCCTTGAAGGGTACAAAATGTGGAGGCATGGGCATTTATGTGCTTATCTAGATCAGTGCGTGTTACACTTCAGCTCTACAAGCTACATTAATTATCAGTTTGCTTCTGGGTTCAATTAAAGATGTGGATAATATTCAGCATGGGCACCTAGTTACTTAAGCATCTCCTCTCCCCGGTTATATCTGCCCATCCCATCAGGTCTTTCAGGAAGAGCATGTGGGGCTCCCATTCACAAAGGAATGCCAGTAGGCCTCAATTCATGTTCTCATGCCTCAGCAATGCACAATGATTTGCTTTGAAAGGTGTACTAATTATAAAGAGGAGGAGCCACAATGGCAACTGTCCAAGTCTTGAAGGCCAACTGCCTCTGGGGTCTCCAGGGATACACCTGATTTGTCTGATGCTGTCAACAGAAAGTGTTAACTTTTTAACAGCATCCAAGTTTAGTTAATTAGTCAACTGCTACTTAAGTAGGAGGGGAAGCATGTACGAAAAGTCCTCCCTTGGAGCTTATTTACACTCCATGCTAAGAAATATCTGGAGATTTTTTTTAATTAATCCCCAAGCAAGCGGTAGCAATTAGTGCTCACCATCCTCAATTCTCTGCATGATCATTTACCTTTTGGGAACATCCTTAGGGAGGCTGGTAGAAAGAAAAAAGGCCATAAAACTGCAGCCTAGCCATCTCTCAAGTGTGGTTTTGCAGGGATAGCATTGGGACAAGCAACAATCTTTTATGTACACTGAGAGCATATGCACCAAGACAAATTCCTTGTGTGTCCAATCACACTTGGCTAATAAAAAAATCTATTCTATTCTATTCAATAAGCGATTTGCAAAAGGATAACAGAAAACCTTCCAGATTGTGTTCACATGATGTAGTTGCCTATACTTCACTATTCAATAGCCCAATTCTGTATAACAGACATGGTTGACCTGACACACTAATTTTTTGTTGTTGTTAGTTGCGAAGTCATATCCGACCCATCGCGACCTCATGGACAACATTCCTCCAGGCCTTCCTGTCCTTTACCATCCTCTGGAGTCCATTTAAGCTCATGCCTGCTGCTTCAGTGACTCCATCCAGCCACCTCATTCTCTGTCATCCTCTTCTTTTGTCCTCAATCTTTCCCAGCATTAAGCTCTTCTTCAGTGAGTCCTTCCTTCTCATTAAGTGGCCAAAATATTTGAGTTTCATCTTCAGGATCTGGCCTTCTAAAGAGCAGTCAGGGTTGATCTCCTTTAGGACTGACCGGTTTGATCACCTTGCAGTCCAAGGGACTTGCAGGAGTCTTCTCCAGCACCATAGTTCAAAGGTCTCAATTCTTTGGTGCTCAGCCTTTCTTATGGTCCAACTTTCACAGCCATACATTGCAACTGGGAAAACCATAGCCTTGACTATACACACTTTTGTTGGCAGGGTGATATCTCTGCTTTTTAGAATGCTGTCTAGATTTGCCATAGCTTTCCTCCCCAGGAGCAAGTGTCTTAATTTCTTTGCTGCAGTCCCCATTTGTGGTGATCTTGGAGCCCAGGAAAATAAAATCTGCCACTACTTCCATTTCTTCCCCATCTATTTGCCAGGAATTGAGAGGGCCTGATGCTATGATCTTAGTTTTCTTAATTTTGAGTTTCAAGCCAGCTTTTGCACTTTCCTTCTTCACCTGCATCAAGAGGCTCTTTAGTTCCTCTTCACTTTCTGCCATTAGAGTGGTATCTGCATATCTGAGGATGTTGATATTTCTCCCGGCAATCTTAATTCCAGTTTTTGATTCATCTAGCTCTGCCTTTCTCATCATGTGCTCTGCATATAAGTTAAATAGGCAGGGCGACAGTATACAGCCTTGCCGGACTTCTTTCCCAATTTTGAACCAATCAGTGGTTCCATGTCCAGTTCTCATTGTTGCTTCTTGACCCGCATATAGGTTTCTCAAGAGACAAATAAGATGGTCTGGTGCTCCCATCTCTTTAAGAACTTGCCACAATTTATTGTGATCCACACAATCAAAGGCTTTAGCTTAGTCAATGAAGCAGAAGTAGATGTTTTTCTGGAACTCCCTAGCTTTCTCCATGATCCAGTGTATGTTGGCAATTTGATCTCTAGTTCCTCTGCCTCTTCAGAATCCTGCCTGTACTTCTGGTAGTTCTCGATCCACATACTGCTGGAGTCTAGCTTTTAGGATTTTAAGAATAACCTTACTAGCATGTGAAATGAGTGCAATGGTGCAATATTTTGAACATTCTTTGGCATTGCCTTTCTTTGGAATTGGAATGTAAACTGACCTTTTCCAATCCTATGGCCACTGTTGAGTTTTCCAAATTTGCTGGCAAATTGAGTGTAGCACTTTTACTGCATCATCTTTCAAGATTTTGAATAGCTCAGCTGGAATACTGTCATCTCCACTAGCTTTGTTGTTGCTCAGATTTCCTAAGGCCCATTTGACTTCACATTCTAGGATGTCTGGTTCGAGGTCAGTGACCACCCCATTGTGATTATCAGGGATGTTAAGCTCGTTCTTGTATAGTTCTTCTGTGTAATTTTGCCACCTCTTTTTAATGTCTTCTGCCTCTGTTAGGTCCCTGCCATTTTGGTCCTTTATCATGCCCATCTTTGCATGAAACGTTCCCTTCATATCTCCAATTTTCTTGAAGAGATCTCTGGTCCTCTTTATTCTATTGTTTTCTTCTATTTCTTTGCACTGTTCATTTAAGAAGGCATTCTTATTTTTTCTAGGTATTCTCTGGAATTCTGCATTCAACTGGGTGTATCTTTCTCTTTCTCCCTTGCCTTTCACTTCCCTTCTTTCCTCAGCTATTTGCAAAGCTTCCTCAGACAGCCATTTTGCTTTCTTGCCCTTCTTTTTCTTTGGGATGGTTTTAGTTGCTACCTCTCGTACTGTATAGAGCTTCTCCATCTTTGGCTGCAGAGCACATAGTCAATCTGATTTCTGGGTTGACGGTCTGGTGATGTCCATGTGTAGAGTCGTCTCTTGGGTTGTTGGAAAAGAGTGTTTGCTATGACCATTGTATTATCTTGACAGAATTCTATCAGCCTGTGCCCTGCTTCATTTTGTACTCCAAGGCCAAACTTGCCTGTTATTTTGGTTATCTTTTGACTTCCTACTTCAGCATTCCAATCCCCATGATGATAAGGACATCATTTTTTGGTGTTAATTCTATAAGGTGCTGCAGGCTTCATAGAACCGGTCAATTTCATCTTCTTCAGCACCAGTGGTTGGGGCACACTAATATGGCTTGGTAATTGGTGGTTTATTAAGCCCTTTGAGTATAACCATGGGAAATAAAAGGGTATCTAGTACTTAACCAGCTGGTATTTTACGCTATTTCATTTTATATAGTATTGTAAACTGAGAGAAACTATAATAGCTGAGTTTCATTTTGCATTAACCCATATAATATTTGCTTAACCATTAAATAAGTACAATTGGCTGGATTCATATAACATGCTAAGCAAACGACATTGGGTTCCCATAATGCATGAGGTTAAAACCAAACAAACTACATTAGCTTATTATGCAAACATGGTCAATAGGTGTCCATGTTGATTTTATACTGATGAAAATGCAGAGTGGCCAATGAAGTCTAGGAACGTTCTATATGGATAGGGATAAGTTTAATCATTCCCCACAGCCGCTTCATAGGAGGAAAAATTATTCCACATTCTCTAGGATGGGTTTGTATGATAAGGTAACCAACACAACTGTGCAGGTGGGGGCTAACTTTTAAAAAAACCAAACTTGGGAGATAATTGGACTTCCTTTCACATGCATGCTAGTGATGCTGATCTGAACCAGACTATATATTCTTATGCTATAATTTTTTTTAAAAAAGTTTTGAAGACAAAAGTCCTAGGATCATTCCAAAACATAAAGCCATCTCAGAAATGTTTTTAGAGGAAAGCAAGCCAGATTGTGCCTGGTAGAACACAGAGCATTAGTAATGCAAAATCTAGATCAAAATCTCACTTAATCCAGAAAGAGCTACACACACTGAAAAAGAGGTGCAAAGGGTACCCTGTAAGATTTTGTTAGGTGTCATTGAAATATCATAGTGACAGTCACCCTGTACTAGAGTAGAAGTTTTATAGCAGGGGTCCTGAAACTACGGCCCGCAGGCTGTATACAGCCTGCCAAAGCCATTAATCCAGCCCGAGAGGGACCATAAGGCTGCCCCACCCACATTACCCCACCTATCAGCCGGCCCCCACCTGCCTTCTGGAGGCATAGGAGGCCAAAAATGGGATGCGTGGGGGCATCAGGAGGCCAAAAATGGGTGTGTTTTGAGGCAGCAGAGTGGTTCTGGAGGCTGAGGAGGCCAAAAATGGGCCTGGTTTTCGTCTCCCCAGCCTCCAGAGACAGAGGGAGGGAGGGAGAGAGAGAGTTGTGCACACACATACAAACAGTCATCCCAGGCAGCCACATCCCTTCACTAACCTGCTTTCCACCCCCAGAAGGATAACAAAGTTTAATTTGTGGGTATTGTTTAATAGACTGCTAAATTGGCCACACCCACCCAATCACATGACCACCTAGCCACACTCACCTGGCTCGACCCCCCAATAGTCTGAGGCACCGTGAATTGGTTCCCTGTTTAAAAAGTTTGAGGACCCCTGTTTTATAGAATCAGTTAAGTGGTGCCAATTATCTGTCTAGTTAACCAAAGGATTCTGGCAAATAAGATTGGAGATGAGTTCTATAGAGAAAAATAGCCTTTCCAACATTTCAAGCACTGTTTCAATTTATAAAAATCTCTTGATTTTCATGGCACTCCTGTAACTTTCTAAAGAATAATGCATAAAATCCTATCAGGTAGGAAAAAAAGTAGCCTATTTGGACTCTGATACAATTTGTTACTTTTTGGTAGAAAAATTAGTTGTAATGAAAGAATCTTATTTCTATAAATAAATAAGTTATTTTACCTATTAATCATGCCAACTGGGTAATTCTGAACACTTATTTTGGCAACATAATTAGTCAAATTGAATTAAAAGAGGAATTACCAGCATTCAAACAGATATAATCTTCAGGTTGTTCCTAGAACTTCCCAAATATTTTGGCCTGTGTATACTTTTATACTTTTTTGTTCCACAAAAGCAAAATCTCTCACATATTTAACTCAAAAAGCAAACCTAACAAGGTTCCTTGGATCCTGAAAGCCAAAAAGGCTTTCAAGAATTGGAAACATTTTTGTTAATCACCTTGTGTTAAGTGGGCCAAACTTTAATCTTCTATTTGTTTTATATGTTGCTGCACTTGATATTGAATTGGGGGCAGTCCTAATGCAAGAATTTGTAAGTGGGAAGCATTCAATTATTTATTTTTCAAAACCCCTTTTTCCTAGCACCATAGAAAGAAAACTTAAGCCCCAAAGTGAATAATGGAAAGTCTCAAGGTTTAGCTGTGGAACAGTGAAATCTCTGTAATCATAGAAAACTAAACATTAGTTTGATTGGAAAAGACGAGAAATGCTAGTATGAAATTCACTCACTGATTCCTTATGCTACAGCCATTCAGATGTGTAATTCAAACTAGTCAGGGCAACAGCATCGAGTTGCTGGTTTTCTGTCTTTTCTTTATGGAACTGATCCAGATATTTCTATCTGATAAACATATCAAAACCCAGTGGAAGGCTTGGAGAAATGCCAACCCTTCACTAAGAGGAGTGGGGTATGATAGAAAATGGAGAAAATAACCATCTGTCAACCAAGCACTCAAATTTAACTTGTAGATAATCAAGCCTGGGAAAACTTACCAGATAAGGCTTTTCAACACACAAAGAAAGTCTCAGGGGAGAGGGGACAATCTGTCTACAGTCCTTCCTCCTTTGAAGTCAAACAGGATTGTTAAAAAGGGGGTCAAAAAGGAAGGTGGGGGTCATAGCCATGCAATCAATGCCCCCCCCCCATTTTAATATGCATTGAGACCTTTTTGATCTCTCTATGGACACCCCTGATCAAACTTCAAAGGAGGACAAAGGGTGAGAACTAGCTATCTTTGTATATATCAGATGAATTCTACTTGCTTAGTTACCTGACTGGGGAAGATAATGTTTCAAAGAACAGGATGTCCTTCAATTTTTGTTATGCTAAGAATAAGGGGAAAAGTTGGCACAGTTCACAAGATGACCCTTCCATGCTATACATGGCCCAATTCTGAGAATTTTAGTTAACTGCAAAATTCTTATTTCTCCCAGTTTTAGCATTTAATATGATTCTGATATACCCTTAGGATGGGAAACCAGTGCTGACATAAACAATCTACAGCTTCCAGTTTGGATACATACTTTTGATTTAATACAAATATTTACCTTCATTTGCAACTCATATTTGCTTAGATTTCTTTCTTTTACATTCTGGCATAAAAGTATCTATGAAACCAGTGCTATTGTAGTCAAGAAAGTAACTAATAGAGGACTGAAAAGATAAATAGCTGGTCTTGGTATCTGTCCTGAGACAGAAATTTCAGGATCAGATCAAATGATCTGGATGGGGAGGAACAGGCTCAAGCTCAACCCTTCCAAGACTGAGTGGCTGTGGCTCCCGGCATCCCGATATAGTCAGTTGACTCCATCACTGACTATTGGGGGCGAGTCATTGGCCCCCACAGAGAGGGCTCGCAATCTGGGAGTCCTCCTGGATATGCAGCTGTCCTTGGAGGAACATCTGACGGCTGTAACCAGGGGGACCTTTTGTCAGGTTCGCCTGATTCGCCAGTTGCGGCCCTTTCTTGATCGGGATTCCCTGTGCACAGTCACTCATGCCCTCGTCACCTCTCGCCTTGACTACTGCAACGCTCTCTACATGGGGCTCCCCTTGAGGAGCACCCGGAGGCTCCAGCTGGTCCAGAACGCAGCAGCGCGGGTAGTGACGGGAGCAGCATGGCGCTCCCATGTAACACCGCTCCTGCGCGAGCTGCACTGGCTCCCAGTTGTCTTCCGGGTGCGCTTCAAGGTGTTGGTTATCACCTTTAAAGCGCTCCATGGCATAGGGCCTAGCTATCTGCGAGACCGCCTGCTGCTACCGACGACCTCCCATCGACCCGTGCGCTCCCACAGAGAGGGCCTCCTCGGGGTGCCATCAGCCAAACAATGCAGGCTGGTGACCCCCAGGGGGAGGGCCTTCTCTGTGGGGGCACCTACCCTCTGGAATCAGCTCCCCCCAGAGATAAGGAGAATCCAAGACCTCAGTGCCTTCCGTCGCGCCCTTAAAACCCATTTATTTAAACAAGCCGGGCTGGCTTAAGATGAAATTTTTAACTGTTTTTAAATGTTTTAAACGTTTTTAATTGGTAAATGAGTTTTAATTGGGCCAAATTTATATATCTTTTAATTGTTTTTAATATTTGTTCTGCATGTTTTTTTAATCTGGCTGTACACCGCCCTGAGTCCTTAGGGAGAAGGGCGGTATAGAAATCCAATATAAAAAAATAAAATAAATGTCAATATCCTCCTGTGGAAGATGAAACTAAAGGTGGGCACAAATGTGATTAGGTAGTGATTATCTAGGATGAAACTAAAAGTCTCTCTCTCTCTCTCTCTTTCTCTCTCTCTCTCTCTCTCTCTCTCTCTCTCTCACACACACACACACACACCCTCAATTTTTCCCTTCTGTCTCTTTCCTCTTTCTCTTCCCTCTCCAAACCGAGGCTCCTGCACCATTGTCTGCAGAGAGTGCTAATGTGCCCCCTCCACTGCCACCCACTTGCATATCAATCACATTTTTAGTGAGCATGTGGGGTACCTCATAATCAGGTGGGTTCTAAATTTTTTTACTACCGGTTCTGTGGGCGTGGCTTATTTTGTGGGTGTAGCTTGGAGGTCATGTGACTAGGTGGGTGTGGCTAGTCAGCTGGTCAGTCATTTCTGGAAGGTCCTCGCACTTACGACCAGTCCTCGCACTTACGATCCAACTCATTTGTTTGCTTTTAACACTGATCAGCTGTAGGACGGCCCTTTGAAGCCCCGCGGCAAGAGTTTAAACAGTTTTTTTCCCTCTAGTCATCAGCTGGGACTCAGGAGGCAGCAATAGATTGGGGGTGGGACCAAATAAAAGGTAAGAATAACGTGGGTGGGGGGGGTGCGAGGGCGGGGGGGAGAACCGGCCGGACTGAACCGGGAGGAACCCACCACTGCTCATAATCACTGCTTGCAATGTCTGTCCATCCCCCTCCCCGCCACGGAGGAGCCATCACCTGAAAGAGGAGATGGGGTGAGATGGGGGGAAGACAATACCTTCCCGCCTGGTCAACATTACAGCTAGAAAGCTGCAGCTGGCACATTCTTCCTTACTCCTCTTCCTCGCTAGCTCCAGCCTCTGCCTGCTTGCCTTGCATTGTCCAGCAGTGGCACAGAGAGAGTCAGGCACAAGGAAGCGCACTGGCGAGGATCTGTGCACCGGTGTATCTTCTGTTCACCTTGAGACCACCCCTGCCTGCTGTGGAGAGTGTCCTTGGAGCTGCGACGTGGGCAGTTCCCTGGCTCAAATACAACTGTTAAAGTATAACAAATAGGCAACATATATTTTTTTATTAGTCTACAAGGTCAAAACAATGAAAGCTAAATTTCAGTTAGAGGTTATACTGAAGGATACTTTCAAAAAAGAGGTCAGAAATTAATAATGGGCTTCCTGTGAAAGTTGCATAACATTCTCAGAGACTCGTCCCATCCTGCTTACAATCTTTTTGGACCGTTGCCTTCTGGCAGAAGATTCAGAACAATTAAAACTCGGACCACATGTTTTCTGATTAGTTTTTATCCCAGAGCTATAATTGCACTCAACAATGAACTAAAGGGCCACCCTCAGTGAGCTGTTGGACAGCATTACTTGGTCCGTTGTGTGGATGTTTGGGTGGTTTAGGGTTGGGGAATTGTGGTGGGTCGGAGTGTGTTTGGGGATTATGTGTGTTGGACTTGTCTTTGGGTGTTAAGTGAATTGTATGGGTATACTGTGTATACATGTGCAATGACAATAAAATTATTATTATGAAGATGGCTGACTGACGACAAGCCCAGGAAGGCTTGTTTCTCTGGACTGTGGCTTTTTCCATTTAACCAACAGAAGGAAAAGGCATTTCTTTAGTTTATATGATTCTCCAGGGTTCGGGAAAAGTCCTAAAATCACTCCCAAGATCCTCCATATATTCTGCAGGAAGCCTTGGGAGTTGTGTTTCAGAGCAGCTAGTGAACCGTTCAGTTGGGTGGGTGGGGGATGTGTGGAGCTGCAATCACTCTGTTATTGAAAAAGCAGCCATTTTGGAATTTATTTTTCAAATGCACAATAAGTTGTGCCTTTCATTTTTTAACCATTTTATGGGATTATTATCTTTATTAGCTAGAAGTGGCTCTTTTTAGTCACAGCCTGTTAGTCCTTTTTGAAGATCTGTGCCATTTTTGAGATTTCTTTATGGCTAAACAACACGGAAGAGGATTGCTGGAGGCAAGCTAAAATAAGGAAGTGTGGAGTATCTTTTTTTTAACTTTAACCCTCCCAGTGCAACTGAAAGAAGAGCTCCAAGCAAATCCACAACTCTCAAGAGGACAAGTTTGGGACTGTTCTTCGAGATGGTTGCTGAAGGGTTAGGGACTTTTTTTCTTCTTACAATCTGCTGCATTTGCTGCCAGAGCTGGTTCTTTGGCAATCTTGCCCCCTGGATTTGAATGGAAGCATTTGGGAATGATCCAAGATGACTTTTGGATAGCTGTGGACCCACCCAGGGAGGGGAATCTTGAAGATTGCTGCTTCTTGCGGGAGCAGCTGGAAAGTTAATAATCTTTTTACATCTCTTCCTACAGGCAGAATGTTTTTGTAAACATGCTAAGGATTTTTAATTTCCCTTTTTAAACTTTTGCTTTTGTTCTTTATCCTTAAATAAATTTGATTTATTTGGCTGACTTCAACAATTTCTGCTTTTCTGTATGGAAACATGTC